TTGGGCTCAGCCTCCCGGCTGAGGCTTCACCTTGTCCCTCCAGACATGACAGGATCCATCAAGTACCAGTTTCAAAGACAGAAGGGCTCAGCATCATCTGCTGAAAAGCGTAGGCAACGCGCATCGGGGGAAGGAAACTCCAGCAAAGTCGTAGAGATTCACTGCAGAGCTCCGGGAGCTGCAGCAGTGCGAGCAGGATGCGACCCCACGGACATTTCCTTGACTGACACTGGGCAGCAGCATTAAAGCCCATCTGCATGGAGGACCTGAGAGCAGAACTCAGCCCTGTCATAGCTACCACAAGGTGTGTGGACTCAGAGGCGATGCCAGGGAACAAAGTGCTAGGGGAGATGTGTAACATCCTTTTCACACCCAGTGATTTGCTGGATCCTTCTGCTATTAGCCAGGACCCCCACAAAACCCAAACTGGCTTTCTGCAGCCAGCCTGCCATCCCACCAGCATGGCCCAGTGCCGCCCAGGACGCCTGCTGGGAGGTGCTGGTCCAGCCTGGGCTCAGCCCATGGATGCCATCTGCCGTTCAGAGCGCTGGGAGGAGAACGGGAGCCCGTCCAGCACCGCTCAGCCCCAAACACGCTGCTTAAAACCGAACAACTCTGCACACACCGAGTCAGGGTGCGTTTGCTTCAGCTCCCCGCTCCCCAGCCTTGGCTCTCGGTCACATCTCCATCACCTGGAGGGCAGGCACAGCCCTTTTGTTTCAAACAAAAGCAGGTTATCTCCTGCAGCCTCCTATTCCCCACAGCAGCAGGAGCAAGGCAGAGAGCACCAGGATTCAAGGTGCAGTTGGGGGAACCACCAGTGGAGAGATGTAACTCTCCAGCTCACGCCTGCCAGCATGCTGGAGCTAGTGAGGCCACCGTCGTGCCCACAGAGGTAATGGGGAAGCTCGGAGGATTTCCCCTGCTCCTGGAGGGAAGCTCAACCCACTGGCAGGGATTTCCCACGAGCCGAGAGGAGCCAGGGCAGGGTTGCTGCTTCTCAAAGGAGGATGGGTGCCTGGCAAGAAGGTGGCTGTCACTGGAGTCCCACAGTATTTCCTTCCAGTCTTCGATGAGCCTGGAAGTGGTTTGAAATAACCCAGCTGATTGCTGGGCACCCATCGTCCCCACGAGAGGGACGCCCTGGTCCAGAGGCAATCCATGGATGAGCCCCCAGAGAAGTCCAGCAATAGCAGGGCAGCCCAGGAGGGGCTGGGAGGTCAGGAATAGCATTGACTGACCCATTTTTGGGGTGCAATGGAAGTGCTGTGGGATGGGACGTGTGCTTACCTCCGAGTCCCTGCAATCAGGTTGCTTTTGCTTTGGGTCACTCACAGCGTACGTGGGCATCTGAGGAGGACACTCCAATAGCCTGTCCCATGGCCAGAGCCTGTAACATACTCCATGTTTTGAGCAGGTTGATATTCCCTGGCCTCTGCAGAAGTCTCATTAAATCTCTTATTCTATGACTAATTAGCAGAGCTCCTCCAGCCTCACCTTGGGCTGCTCTGCCATGCAAGCCCGGGCTGCCACCCAGCAGAACAGCTCAAAGCGTGCTTAAAAGTTTGAAATCTTTTCTCGAAATAATTAAGATTGGTTTGAAAACACAGCCAGGTTCCTTCAGCAAGGCTCAGGCTCCGGCAGAGCCCCGGAGGTCCCGTAGCCCCGTCAGGGACCAGGCTGAGCTCCAGGAACCGAAGGCCAAGTCAGAGGGGCTGTCCCGAGGCGGTGGGCTCTGCAAGCAGAGCCCAGCACTGGGACAGATCAGACGTACCCTCTCATCCTAGCTTTTGCCACGTAATTATGGATAGGATTTATCTCACCTTGGTTACCTCTCTGCCTTTCCTAAGCCGTTTATGATCTCCTGGTTAAAAAGCAAACAACGTTATTACTAGAGAAAGTGCTTCAGTTCTTCAGGTACAGAGGTCTCGGAGTGGGCGTTATCTGGAAGCTCGGTGCAGTGGAGGCATGCTAGAAGCGTCTGAAGTCTCAGCAGCTGCCTTTCCCAGCAGATTTTGGGGAGCAGCCAGCAGACAGAGTGGGAGGTGGCTGCAGAGCACGCTGCAGGTCACAGCAGGAGCTCACGGCTGCTCGGGAAGCCCCCAGCCCCTGAAATCAGGATAGACATGGAAACAAACTCCTGGGAGAGCTGCTTGGGAGGGGAAGTACAGCTGGAGAAGGCCAAATGAGATCTAGGTGTAAAGCTTTTGTCAAATCTTGGCTCTGCACAGCACCACCATGGGAGAAGCACCCCGTGCAGCAGAGCTACCTGCTGCTGGCTGGGGACAGCCAGGGGTTGTGTTTGGTGACAAGAGCTTGGGTTTCACTACAAAGGCAGCTGACCTGGACCTGCTTCTCTCTATGCTGCATCTCGGAGGGCTCCTCCTTCTCTCTCTCTCTCAATGCTCGGCACAGCCCCAGCTTTGATTACTGACCGTCTCCCCCCAGCCTTGTCCCCGGTCCCTGACATCTCTTCGTGAACTCCTAGAGCAGGTTTATTCCCACGACGCTGCTTTGTCTGCCTCTCTCTTCAGCCTCTCTGGAGGGGGGAAAGCAAAGGATCAGCCCCCAGCCGTGCTTTGGCCAGACAAAGGGAGCAGATTCCTCCTCCCCTTGCGCCAGCTTAACAAAGCCAGCACAGCAGCACCGAAGCCCGAGCCTCGGCCTTGTGGCAATGAACAGGGCTCGGGGCTAACGAGAAAGTGAGAGCAGAGGAGCATCAGGCTGAGCTGTGTGTGGGAAAGGTTCCTCAAGGACAAAGGAAAACACTTCATTAATAGCTAGAGACTCTCGGCGGTGCAGAGGCGGCTGAAAGGGAGCTCTGCTCTGCCGGGAGACATGGGGTTTATTCTAGAAGAGGAGAAGGCTCACTCCCTCCTTGCAAGCCTCCTCCATCCTCCTCCAATTTTTACAGTTCAAAGGGATGTTTTATGAGCCTTCTGGGGTCAGGAGGCTGCACCCCCAGGGCCACACACGCAGAGAAGGGTGCTCTTAGCACCCTCCCTCAGCTCTGCTAGACCCAGCAGACCTTCAAGCATCCAGGGGTGCCATTAGACAGAAATGCCAGACCCCTGTGCCCCGCAGATCTCACCCTGGAGCCCTCCCTGACTGCACCACATCAGGATTGTCTCTGCTGGGCTCTGTGCTCCTCACCGGGGGCCTGGAGCACAACCCAGCATCGCTGCAGGAGGCTCCTGCGCCCCGGCCGGGGCTGTGTTTCTGCGTCAGGAGTAGAGCTCCTGTCTGCAGTTGGATATTTGCATTTATACAGCATTTATACAGCCTTCCAAAACACGGTGCCTGCGCGAACAAAGCACCAGGACCACAGACAGGAACATGACAGAGGATGGGGACAGACACCGCGATGCCTACGTACGCAGCCAGGGACAGGCAGGTGGGATGTAAATAATCAGCGAGCAGGTTGTTCGCTGCGGAGCCGGTGCCGTTCCCCTTTCATCGCACTTTGAGCTCAGAGAGGGAGGACTCGGAGCTGACAGGGCTGCGCTTCAAAGGAGCCACTCGTTCCACTACTTCCCAACGAATACCGACAGCCAGAAACTAGTTACTCCCAGGTAACTAGCGGTAGGACGCGAGGCAATGGCCTCAGGTTGCATCAGGGGAGGTTCAGATTGGACATTAGGAAAAATTTCTTTACTGAAGGATTGGACCAGGGTGCCCGGGGGGGGGAGGGAGTCCCCATCCCTGGAGGGGTTCAAAAACCGTGTGGATGTGGCACTTGGGGACGTGGTTTAGCAGCCATGGATGGGGGGAGGAGGTGACGCGGTTGGACTTGGTGACCTCGGGGGTCTTTTCCGACCATAACGATTCTGTGAAACGGCAAACGGGGTCGGTCCCTGCCCGCCCGCACCCCC